CATGTTTGTCACTCATGTTTAAAGATCCCCTCCAAAGGTTGTGTCGTGGGGATGAATGAGTATTCCTCTATGGTGGACACAGTTTGGCGGTGTTCGGCGTGAATTCTTACCATTAGCGGCATGCTAAATCAGGAAAAAGTACCCATATTTGACCGAGCACCATTTTACGTAGACAACTCGTTTCGCCGTGTTTTTTTTTTCTCGAGTCGTCTACTGACTGCAATAACACATTCATGCACCAAACTGGTTGTTCTGCCTCGTTTCGAACTCGCAGAGCACGCAAGACAGGTCACGGAGGGAAAAACCCACCCCTACCCTTGGTGTCGAAAACCCGGGGATACGTCATTTTCATCCCCGGGTGTCGTTCATTTTTTTTTCTCGTATTTTTTCTTCATTCCTACTGTATTTTACGCGTGCCCACAAAATCTTGGGTCTTGAACCGCTTTGAAACGTACGAAATCAACCAATGATTCAAGTGGCCTTTAATACCCCCAGGGGTAATTTTCTCTCAAAATGGAGCTTGCAGCTCAGGTCTACGGCCCCAGCCTTACCTCGTCACTGTTTTAGATAGGCGGGGGGTGATCTTACCTATCGCTCGATACCACAATATCATCGAAATTCGTTTTCCTGCTCAAGAACGAGCTCTTTGCACAGGGGGTAGCTCAAGTGGCCTTTAATACCCGCCGCTACTCTAGGCCACACATACCAAGCACAAATAAATTGCACCTGTCTTGCATCTCTAACTTTTTCTGTGCAGCAAGTGATATCCTGCCACAGATTTCACGAGAACCCTCGCTACCCCCATCACAACTTCGCTCTCGTTTGAATTACGTGACTGATTCGGCCCCCCGAAGGCTGGTTGAAATAATCGGCTACTTCTCCCCCATTTACGTCCTAAATTCGTTCACCATTCGCGCTCCAAAAACACTCGCTCGCGCATACCTTGGCATTTGATATACCATGGGGTGCTGCCTCGCCTCCTCAACTAACTAAATGACAACACAGGAACGATCACCACGCTTGCTTCGTGTGCACTGAGGCCGCACAGCCCTCCTGCTTGCGAATGATAGATGAGGCAATTGTACTGCTACTTCCACTGTACGGTCGACAGAAAATAGAAAACACTGCCGAACATTCCAAATTCCATGACGCAACACGCCATCTTTCAGACTGGGGCCCAGCTATAATGTGCGACGGACTTGAGTCGTACGGCACCACCGAACACGCGCGTACCACCTCCAAGTGAGCAAGGGAAGCCACAACACAAAACGTCGCAAAGACTCAGTCAACCCTAGCCTGGAAAAAAAACAAAGTCAACTTACACGACAATAAAAATAGTCCCTGTTTCGTCATCCAAAACAATACGAAGCCATCGACGTTGAGGCCGCTTCGTGACCTCAGGACAGCAGTAACTGGTCAAAGAGCTCTCAAGCATGGCGTGCTCCTACTCAAGACCCAAACACATCACGTACACCTACGTTGCCGACCGCACGCGTTGCTACATGACGAAAAGCAAGGTGTGAGGTCTAATACAAATCGAACTACGCGACGCTGCTCCTTCTCTCGCCCGCCAACCTTAAAGGCATATCAACATTTTTCGTATTATTTCTGGCGTATGGTCTCCCAAACGAGAGATCTACAAGTACATTTCTACCCATCATGCATATGTGGGCCTCAAACTATCGCCTTCTGCGACGTCAAGCTGTTGTACAATATGCGTGCATCACAGGGAACGGAGTATATGGTCCGCAAAAGGTGTACCATGGGGCGGCCATCACCTCAACCACCTGCGCGCACACGTGTATTCCTTTGTAACGCAAGCGGGCAAAAATACCGCGACCCACGGGCCTTCGACGCGACCCTGCCCCGCAGGTTTTTCCGTCCCTCCTCCATCGTAATGTCGAAGGAGGTCTAGGCGGGGAGGCGCACAACTCCGATCTTGGCGTTTGACATCGGTCGGCCCTCTTGAGGACGTAAGGCCGGGAAGACAATGGAACACGATTGCCCGGCAGGTGCTTTGGAGTATGGGGCCCAGTCCCGGTGAACGACGGAGTCGAAGGTCACGGCATCCCCCAAGTTGTCCTCGAACTCCACCCTTGGCTTCTGGAGGGCCATCTGTGTTGAGGGCGCGACATTTCCACAATGAGGTCATTTGTAATCTGTGCCGATCGGAATGCGGAGTGCCAATTTAGTGCATAGTCTCCATAGATATTACGATGTCGGCAGTCCTGTCGTCAGATCCCACGCGTATTTGGCGGGAGGGGCCGTACAACAAAGTAGGAGGCGACCGTCTCGTTTGTGACGCACGCCGCCCCCTAGATTAGCCAACCCACGCGATTTCACCCGCACCTCTGTGTGAGTTCACGCTTTGCAAGCGTGAAAACGTATTCTCCATCCACTTCCATGTATTCGCTAATTTTCGACGTATTCGACTCACGGAAGGGCGCCGCCGTTCGTGGCCCAAGACAAACTTGAAGCAAATGATAACGTTGTAACACACCTCGACGAAAACCATCAAGTAGTTCTTCATGAGGGCCTCGAAGGAAGGCCACGCGGGGCCAGATATGATCTCGTTGGCGAGGCTCTCGTCTGCAGGCTCCTCGCAGCGCCGAAGGACGACCCCAGCCAGCGCGTTCATCCGGTCCGGGTCCGCGGGCACGATCCTCTGGTAGTCCTTGCAGAGGCACTCGTACAGCACGTACTGCGTGTCCAGGTTCATCTCGTCGCCGGCCGACAGCAGGATGGGCTCGTCGTTGCCCAGAAACGCCGACAGGTTCTGGAGCCTCTCGTCCAAGCACCGCTGCACCTCCTCCCTGCAGACCAGGAAAGTGTTGTACAGGACGCTCAGAATCGTCCCGTTCACCGCCGGGTGGGACCCGCCGACGGCGCAAGCTTTCTCGGTCCACGCGAGGGCGTCGTCCGCCAGCTGATACACGTGCTGATACACGTCGCGGACGCTGGGGAAGTCGCCAGAGCGTAGTCCGCCGCCCTTCGCCCGATGGACCAGGGTCTCAGCCTTCACGCGCCTGCTGTGCTCAGTCTCGAGGTCTCTCCTGCGGCGCAAGTTTCGGTGCGTTTGCACGAAGCAAGGTCAGCCAACATGCGAACCACTTGTTGAGCACCGAAAATATCACAGACGAGCACTGATGATGATGTATTCTAGACGTGCCCCCCCCCCCCCCCCCCCCCCCCCNCCCCCCCCCCCCCCCCCGTGTTTGCCATCGGGAATGGGTTTTCGTCGCTTGGCAACGACGCTGTAAAACAGGCTACCGTTTTTTTATGTTTACCTCCGGTTTTTTTTGGCGGAAACCATAATGGTGGTCGAGTAGATCATGTTGTGCGGGGTGGAGAACCCTCACTCCGAGCAAGGGGGATGATCGCACCACGTTGTGCTAAAATGGTCAAGCACCCTCGAGGCAGTTACACAGTGCTAACAACTGTTTCTGGAAGTGAAGCACCAGAAAAGAAATTAAGTCATACGCAGCTGTCATCCGTACGCAAGGAAGTAAGCACAAGGTGCCGAACACCCTTAGCAGGATGCAGCGCACCCTTCATGCGACTCGCCGAATACCTCATGGCGCTTCGCGCTTGGTGATGTGACAGCCTGGTCCGGTGAGAACCCGGCGTGCTCCGTTTCGGCTTTGTAGGGATGCGAGTTCAATGGTCTAACGACTACGGCATGCACGACTATGAGTACCCCCCCCCCCTTGCACAAAGCGAAGGTAGGCTCCGATTGCATAAGCGGCAGCACGGAGAACAACCCTTCCAGGACCACAAAATTCTCCGCAAAAGCACTTTCAGAACAACCTCGACCTACGCCCTTTTGCTTGAAGAATGAACATTACGGTCTTTGGACACCACCGCTGAGCGGTCATAGCAGGAATGGAGATACGGATGGTTCCTTGGTGTATTTTCCGGCAAACATCGTGGCAACTCTATCCCTGACCTCAAGCTCCCCAACCCCTCTACTTTTTGCCTGATACCGTCGAGTGAACCCCTCTACCTCGAAAATTTTTCCGTGCCGCTCTCAAGAGAGAGGCTCTGCGTGACACATCACGATGACATGACACTCTTTGGCGACGCCCGACAGTCAAGCTTCTTGACTGGGATGCCCGCGTGAGGGACCGTAGCCCGCTTCAACAGTGGAAAAAACACACTACGGCCGTTCCATGATTGTTCTCACCGAAGACGGCCCAGTTCCACTTCGGTGTTGGCATCACGGCGGCCTGCGGAGGGCGGAGTCGGGGGTTCTTTACGCCTCCGCATGAGGAACCATGCGAAGCAAGCTATGTTACCCAGCACCAAAGCAGCCAGCAAGACTGAAAGCGCGACGAACGCCGAGGACGTGCCTGGCGCGCGAACAAGAGCGGGGAAGCAAAATGAGCAAGCACACGGGTAAGGAACGCGGGAGGGTTGCCATTGACAAAGCGTGTCGCAGGAAACGTTCCCAACTGCGGTACCCCCCCCCTAAATAGGGATTCCTTGTCTGTTTTGTCGACAAAAGACCAATTTGTTTGCATCAAACAGCCGTTCAAGGAACCCAATTAGTTTCGAAATATCTAGCTTGCAGGCATCACGTTGCGCAAGACACGATGCAACCACCGATTACACAGTGCATGTCCGGACAAATACTCATCTGGCGAGGCAAACCCCTGCTCACTAAAAACCGAGCCGTCCTGGATTCATAGATAGATTGAAGGAAGAAGTATACAAGAGTGGGGGGTGCTGCTGTCTATCTATGGTGGAAGGTTCCCTCCCTTCGTCCCTCGACAAAGACCGGTGTGCGAAAACTACGCCAGCGTCGCTACTGGTACAATCTAACTAGCGACGCCAACTAGGCTGGCTGCACCGACGGAAGGCACAGGTACGCCTGGCAGCGGCAAACGGCAA